TGTGTGTGTGTGTGTGTGTGTGTGCTCTTAAAGTGACGTCTCTTTCGAGTCCTTGGGTGGCCTGAAGGTCAGTATCTCTGTGAAAGTGTGACCTGCACAACACAAAAGAGGAAACTGTTATTAACAGCAATGCTAAACTCAAGTTCAACAACTAAGACACTGCCTGCCTCGCTGATTATGTTACGAATCAAGGCAGCTTCTGTGTATTATTAGATTTGAAATCTGCATCAAGTAAGAGTAGCATACACTGACCTCTTTTGGCCTAGAGAAGGTACTGCAACTTCATGGAACAGTTCATTTTCTAGTCTGTTTTTTTGCTGTTGTTTTTTTTTTAAATTTTATTTTACTATCATTCACATTGTCAATTTTTACCTATTATCTATACATCTTTACTGTATGTTTGGGGTTATCTGAAAGAAAAATCTGGTTCTTCAGCAGTTAAATGCCCCACTTTGTTTGGTTGTTTGGTGTTAACCAGGAAGCATTAGAGGCTTTCTTAGATTTGTTTTTTTAACCTGAAGAACAACTGCTGGCTGCAGATTAGAACAAAAAAAGGAGAATTGGGGGGAAAGGACCAAAACAGTAAAGGTCTGTGCCAAAACATTAACAGCTGAGTAATAGGTTTTTTGCAACTCGATTAATTTCAATTGAATTCTATTTTATATAATGTAAAATCACAACAACAGTCATCTCAAGGCGCTTTATGTTGTAAAGACCCTACAAATATACAGAGAAAACCCCAACAATCAGATGAGCCCTGTGAGCAGGCACTTGGTGACAGTGGGAAAGAAAAACTCCCTTTTAACAGGAAGAAACCTCTGGCAGAACTAGCCTCGCCCCTCCCATTCTACTTTTAAATACCCTCAGAACCACAAGTAAGCCAGCAATCTGATAGTGTGATGTAGAGGAGATACGGTTTTATGAGGTCTTTTAAGATAAGATAACATGATTTTACATTCGATTCTGGATTCAACAGACTTCTTTCATATTTCTTTCAGAATATTTTTGAACAACTCCAGTATTTTTTTATTACGTTTCCACAGGTCCAGCGGCAGTTCTGTGTTGTCTAGGGTCTGATCGTATGGCAGCGCCTCGGTCTCCTCCTCCGTATCTCTGAACTCACTGAAGAAAGGGAGGTCAAGCGCCTCAGAGGCGCTCAGCCTCTGGTCAGGGTCCAGAAGCAGCATCTTTTCCAAGACACATACAGCTGTAATGCAGAGACATGTCATATTCTGGATGATAGTAGCTTAGTGTAATTTATGGATGGTGTATGATCACGTACCATTTGAGCTAGCTTTGGAGAAAATTGAGTGCAAATCCTTTTTTGGCACTTTTGGTAAGCTTCTGATGTAGTTTCTGGCCTGTTCGCAGAGGGAGAGGAAGAAGGTTGATAATTTGAAATATTAAATCAGTGACAGCACATATGTCTACTATTGTCATTTCAACAAGCTCCACCCACTTACTGCTCAAACCTTCTATTTGTGAGGGGCAGCCAATCATGAGAAAGTTGCTTTAAAAGGCGGAGGGGGCTGCACCAAATCAATCTAATGCAAACCAAGATTAAAACTTTTGGAAATGGAATTGAGCATAAGAGGTGACCTTTCCACATGCTTGATTAAAGTCTACACAGAAAAGTAATTCTTTAAAGTCTAATTCAATGCAAATGTCACCTGAGTGCTACTCATCTAGAATACAAGAATAAGACGCATGCACCAGTTTGGCGAAATGTACCGTATTTTCCACACTGTAAGGCGCACTTAAAATCCTTTAATTTTCTCAAAAATCGCCAGTGCGCCTTATAACCTGGTGCGCCTTATGTATGAATTCTGGATGTGATTACTGACCTCGAACTGATTTTATGTAGTACACGGCGCTCAAAAATCTGTCAAAAAATGTTTTAGTACGACTTTGGTAAGCTATGAAGACGCACCGCTTGATGGATTGTCGGAGGATTGTGACTACCGTAGTCAGAAGCCTTGGACTCTGTGTAATCTGGGTCCAAAATTCCGTCCACTTCAGGTCCCAAAGTCAAACGAACACTGCAGCATCACTGAGAGTTAAAAACTGTCTAAATTCTTTCATCTTTAATAAAATGATCAGCGTTGCTGCTTTACCAGGTGTAACAATTAAGTTTAATATCCAGGCATCCATGAAAACAGAATTTATTAAATTTAATGGAGTTAGAAGTTAGCAGGAAGTTAGCTCGCTAGTTTCCACCTAAACATGATATAGCATGTTCTGACTGAGAGATTTCTGAAAAAATTCAAACGTACAGCTCTGCTATCACTTCCAACATAAATGAAGACAGAAAACTAAACAGCAGTGAAGTTTGTAGGGTTACTGAAGTTGGGCTAGCTGGTATATAATGATGTGCTACGTGATCACTAGCAACACAGCTATGTTAGCATAACATAAGCACAGTGAAGCTGGAGGATGAACGCTAACTTTTTTCCACTCAATAAAGGTTTATGCTAGGGTTCCCGATGGTTAGGAACAAATGCAATTACATGGCAGGATGCTGTAAACTGACCAAACTTAAGTCAGGAGAACAACTGAGATAATCCATCCACAATACGAGGTTAGTCATTAATATACTGCAACAACATGGGAAACGAGCAGCTGCGAGAGAATTCAACATTAATGAATCAATGTTACGGAAGTGGAAGTAGCGTGAAAAATGAGTTGAGTAAAGTTTGACTTATCTGACTGTTTTGTTTCACTTAATGCACCTTATAATCCGGTGCGCCTTATGGTACGAAAAATAGAGCATTACAGTAACTAAGAAAATAGGTAAGGAAGATGCACTGCTCTCGACTCCCAGTGCCAAGAAAGTCCTAAACACAGCTACTCCTGTGCTTTCAATCTGAAAAATATGTGTTTCAAACATACTGTGAGAAAAAAGGAATGGTTTTGATACATTTCTGTGCATCTTTTTGTGATGAGAACTGTGAAAACGCTGTGACCAACTTTGTATTGGAATGCATTATAGCAACTATGAAACCAGACTGACCACAGCTGCTTTTCCCTTTGAGGTCTGAGAGAGCAAATTGCATATCTTTTACAGCCCTCCCCTTTTTCAACTTTACAGCCAGTGTTTCATACTCAAAGGGAACTGTAACCCCGGGTTATCACTTACATCTTGACTTTGTAGTTTCACAATAAAGTCAGGAGATGGGGTTCCTGTAATCTTCATGATTTCCCTCAGCTGGTCCAGGTCTGACAGTGAAATATGGTTAAGAAGGGTGTGTTTAACTGATTTTTGATATTCAATTGTGAGCTTTCTTTTCAGCTTGCAAGTATAATGGGATCAACATGAAGAGACAGTAAAAATAGGAAAATGGGGAATAAGTCTTAATTTTGCTGTGAAGTGAAGGATTCAGGTGGTTAGTCTTAAACATAGACTGCATATAAAAGATGGCAAGGGTTACACGCTAGACTAACACGGTGAAGGATACGGTCGTTGCCTTTGAACAACGGCTTTCCCAGCAGCATCTCCGCCATTATGCAACCTGCCGACCAGATATCCACTGCAACCCAAAGCAAAGCATCTTTATCTGCAATTCTGGATTAAGAAAGAAATATATCCCCCTGATTTTTACCCCCATCCCTATAAGAAAGATAGCTGTACCAGTTTGCGTATAGTGCATCCAGTTGAGGATAACCTCTGGCGCTCTGTACCACCGTGTCACCACATAGCCGGTCATTTCAGAATCAGCCTGCCTCGCCAGGCCAAAATCCAGAATCTGAAGTGGAGGAAATAACTGAACTTTAACACAGAACGTGACTACGTCTAGAGACTTCACATCGATACATCTTCTTTGTTATTCGGCATTACCTTTAACTCACAGTCTGGGTTAATGGCTAAATTTCCAGGTTTAAGATCCTGTGGTGAAAAGAAATGTTAAGACCAATGAGACCAAGAGATACAAACAGTATGTGATTCCGGTTTAACATTAGTCATTAAAAGTAGGAATTCAACTCAATTTTATTTACATTCCACAAATGTATAATGTAACAACCCTTATTATTGTGATACAGCACCACTAGGGGGTGTTGTCCTGCTATTGTAGTAGTTGGGGAGACTCCTAGTGTGTGTGTGAGTGCAGCGGCAGCCATTACAGCCGAGCAGTCTGTTCAGAGAGAGACCTCATCATTGTAACGCGATGGCACCGGCGACTACCCATCCCCGCACATGTAAGTATGGACAGAGGAGAGCCGTGGAGACCTGGCATGTATGGTCTTATGTTGCTAACATCAAATAAGGTCTGTTGTTCGATTTAACTGACTGGCCTCGAGTTATCCAGCTAACCTACACACCACATGCCCGCTGGACCCACTAGCCGCTCTTTCTTCGCCAGACTGCCGTTACAATAACAGACATTGCCTCAAAGTGCTTTATATTGTATGCATAAATACCCTAAAATTTATTCGATTAAATTACATAATCCCCTGTGAGAAAGCACTTGGTGACAGTAGGAAGAAAAAAATCCCTTTTAACAGGATGAAACATCTGGCAGAGCCAGGGTCGGGGAGGGGCGGCCATCTGCCGTGAGTGGTTGGTGGTGAGGGGAGAAGAAGAGAACGGAGGGAGGCAGGACAAAGGATTTGGAATTGGAAGGCTTGTTTCTTTAGCAGGGCTAGCAAGGGTGAAAAAAGGACACATTTTTTAGCAGTAATTGATACGTTTTCTGCTCTAATAAGCAGTTCTCTGAGAGGCAGGAAAAATCAAGGAAAGGCTTTTGAAAATAGACATTTCAATAACACGATCTAACAGTCAGCGTATCAGACACAAACGCACACACTTACATAACAAAGCTCCCTGTGTGAGAATCGAGATGAATGGGACCGAGTATAAAAAAGAGAAAGTAGCCCCGCCACCCCCAAAGCTCATAGTCTAAAAGGTCAAAGGTCACCTACCCTGTGAATGATCCCTGCTGAGTGGATATACTGTGGAGAAAGCAGAGAGAGGGGGCATCAGATCAGCTCACTGAAACACTTTCCTGTTGTTTCAAGAAATTTCATGAGGGTTTCATTCACCTTGAGTCCTTTCAGCATCTGATAGACGAGGAACTGCACTCTGTCCTCCGATAACCTCTCCAGCTTCATCAGCTTGCCGAGGTCGGTGCCCATGAACGGCATCACCAGATAACTGCGGAGAGGCATGGGATCAATTCAAATGAGCTCTGTCTGATTCTTTAAGAGTGGTTAAGGAGAGCAGAGAGAAACTTACAAGTCACGAAACCGGTCGAGTGAGATTTCAGGAGTGAAAACATCCAACAGCCCAATGACCTGATAAGCCAGGAGGGAAAAAAAGCTCAATTAAAATCCGACTGGAATGATATTTAATCACATCTCTTCTCCTTCAAGCATGAACTTCAACATCTGCTATAATGTGAGTCGTATTTGCTGTTCCCGCGTCTTACGTTTTCGTGCTTCATGTGTTTGAGAAGTCGCAGCTCTCTGTAGGCCCTTTTGGCAAAAAGTTTGGTCTGGAAAGGCCGGTGGAGTTTCTTGATGGCCACCTGTGTCCCTATCCGGCGGTCCCATGCTGAACTGATGAGCAAGAAAACAGGTTTTATTGTCAGACTGAAATTTAAACTGGAATTACAAACCCCGATTGCACAATGAAATATTTTTTAATGATCTGAATTAAAACCAGAAACAACTGCATCTTTCCATGTTTTTTCCATAGAAATGTGTTTCTTTTGTTGTGTTCTTGGTTTCAGTCAGGCACCTGTCCCGTTTTTAGTGTGTGTGTGGATGTATTTCCCAGTTAAGCAAACTTGTGCTTTTCCTAGCAGGACAAGTCACCGTGTCTGCAGTGGGAAAAAATGTAGACTGCAATGTGACTGGAGACAAAGTGCATTCTGAGGAATTAACTCAGGGTCTTTAGCTTGACCCTAACAATAAGAGTTGGGGGTGGGTTTTCTTTGTTGACCCTCAGTCACAGTACACAATGCAAAGAGGGGCCCTAGACAGCCATCTGTGGAGAGACCACTGACCAAAAGAGCACATACAACCAGGACCTGATGCTTAGATAGGCTTTTATTGCAACATAAGATGCAGTGGTGTGCAGAAATCTTGAGTCGCTTTTCATTTATTTACAATTTCCTAGAAAAATGGGAAATGGAAACAGAGATTTATTGAGACAAGTGTTAAAACATACGTGGAAATAAAGCATATAAGCCAAAAACAGAATTTATAATTCTAATAAGCTTGAAAGTGGATAATTGGTAGGTCCAACATCATTCTTTAACACAGCCTGATCTCTCTTTGGCAAGTTTCCTTGTAGTTTCTTTAAGAAGTCTTCAGGACGGACATTCAAAGCTCTCCTTTGGATGTTGACTGACTGATACTACACTGCTTTGACAGTGTTGAGGTCCGGACTCTTGGGGAGGCCAATGCAAACACATACAATTGGCAATGTGTTTGTTATCAATATCCATTTTGACGAGATCTCCAACAGCTGGCTAAAATGGAGCCTCAAACCATGACAGAACCTCCAACATGTTCTATGGATGGCTGTAGACACTTGCTGTTGTACCTCTGTGCTGTCCTCTGAATCAATTTTTTAAATTTGTATTCATCAGCCCACAAAACCCGTTTCCACTGATTTTCAGTCCAGTTCTGGTGTAATTTCTCTTCGTCCTCCTTCCTTGACAGCTGCCCTCAATAAACAGTAAATGGATCAACTGAAGAGTCAGGTGCATCTCTCAGGTCCTGTGTCAGCTTGGTTTTTTTTTCCAGTTTCTTAAGGACAGGACTCTTTTTTTTAACAACACACTGCACACGCTGCTAAGACATGCCAAGTTTTTGGCTAATAGCACTTTGGGAATTCCCTTGTTGGTGCAAGGCAACATTTCATGCCTGTCCAACTGTGTTACTTTGGTATTTCTCATAGATTCAACTGAAGAAACAGGAACAAATGTTGTGTTTTTGAAACAAGCTGCTAGGAACAAAGTGCAAAACTGATTATTTGCTAAGCTGACTGTTGTCTGTAGGCAACACTTGAGTTAGCATGTCTTCTTCATGCTTTGCTGACCAATCAGCGAACAAGTAAGGAGGGAAAATAATCCCTCTGAAAATGGTCAGGTACAAGGACTGGACTGAAAATGGGTCAAAAAGGAGCCAAAGAAAAACGTTGAAAGATTTTGAGAAATCCCGAGGAAACAATTTAGAAATTACAAGCAAGCCTGGCTCCCTGGAAGCAAAATATAAAGAAATGAAAGGAGGCTCAAGACTTTTCAGACCGTGCTGTACTTTATAGCCTTTCACAGTATGTACACAGACGTTGCTTAAAGTCTAACAGATTTGTCCAACTACATAACACGCACAGGATAGGTTGAGTTTGTTGACAATCAGTCCAACACAACAGATTTTTTCTTTTTTAATCAAATTCTTTTAAAACTTTCAGCTACAACTTGCATAACTCACCACACAGTCCCATATGCTCCCGTTCCGACCTGCTTCAAGTCTCGATACCGCTCCGGTACCTCCCACACGGTTCTGTTGATCTCCTGCCTGTAGAACCCCGTCCTGGAGCGCACAGCCATACCCTACCGACGAACAAGGCTGCGGCTCCGCTCCAAACTCTCATGTGAAGAAATAAAAGTTCCACAGTAAAGAGCAGCTGTAGAAACTGCTGGGGCGCAAAATTCCTCCAGATGCGATCTCTTGTGCGCTTTGGAGGATCGATACTCACGGCCCCCCAGGACGCACACGCAGACTCACGCGCACTGAATTGTTAGTGGTTGTTTCTGGTCGCCCATGGCACTCTGTGGGTGTGTCTACAATGTGGGGGAAAGACTGCAAAACATCTGTCCACCCTATAAGGTTAGGTTCCCCCTGCGTCCCTTCAGAGCTAACCTTGGCTTCTAACATAAAGTCAGTAAGCTTTCTTTTTTTTTTTTTTGGGGTTTTTTAGGATCTTGATATTATTTTGAGTTAAGTTATATTTTCTTTTACACCTGGTTGTGTGCACCTCAGTTTAAATACCTGATATACATGTCAGTGCTTTTAGCAGGGGCATGTCCAGAGTGGGCGCATGGGGTGCCTTGACCCCAAATCCAAAATATAGGATGTCTGAGCAAAATCCATGTTCAGCCGTCTTAATTAATTATTGGCAACACAAATTTTATTTTTTTGAATTCCTTCTACAGTGGCTCTGAGAGTTCAAACGCACTGCAACTTTAGAAAATTTCTGGAAAGCACAAAAAACACAGTGGATGTTAAATAAACACAACAAAAGCAGAAAAAGTGAAACAATGGAAGTAGAAAAATGCTAGTGTTTGGGGGTGGAAGATAAAGATGTGATGGAACAGCTGCAGACACGACAGAAATCCAAATATGCGAAGGATTTTACTGAAACATGCTTAAAAGAAGGGGAGGATTCACTGGTGATGTGAGGGAGAAAGGATGCTAGGCAATGTGTCTTTTAATCACATTATTCATAAAATACTGTTTATGTTTGCTATTTCCTGTTTAGCCTGTCATCATGAATTACTACCCCCCAATAACAAATTCTGTGTTTTGTGAGGGGTTTTTGTGTGGGGGCTCTTGCTATTTTTTTTTCTCTTTTATTCAACTTTGATCGTCTTTGTGTATTTTTCCAGTGCTGGTGTTTTCTTACATTGCAGTGCATTTTTCCTCACAGGGGCACTGTATATTTTTGAAATATACAAAATATACTGCAAATTCCTTGTGAGAAAATCCATTTAGTCAGTTGGAACACCCCATTAAAAAGCAAACAAACAAAAATGGAAAACCTGTTTTCTTCAGAGCAAAACAAATACTAAATGATGAGGTTTGTAGTGTCTGAGTTTTACATGTAAAACCACCATCATCATCTAGATTGCTTTATGTCTTTATAGTATATATTTATGTCAACAATGTATTTTATTCACAATTAATGGTTCTAGTCCAATCTATAAAAATCACACGTTTAATGATATGAAGTATGCAAGAATGATGTGTACTCTATGTGAGACATTTTGGCAAACAGAGATGATCGAGTTTATTCTGTTGAAGCCAAAGCTTAAAAGTCATGGTACTGTCTGATGACGAGAAAATCCTTTGAATCATTTGGAAACTAAGAGCTGACATTCATTTTAGCGATTTGAAACTCAGGACTACAGTTGACTCACACGCCACCATGTATTCAAAAGTCATAACTTGTAACAAACATACATACATACATATACATTCAGTTTGCAGTTGCTAATTAAATCCACCACATATACAACATAAGCACATAACACTGTAACATTCAGAGCTCACACCTTGACTGAGACACAGTTTTGATTAATTTAGACTTCAAATTCAACATTTTTCATCCAGTATTAGTGGAGAACTTGCACAAAAGGCTACATGTAGCACTCCAGTGTGAACCAATCTGGGGGGGGGGGAAGGAAAAATAAAAGAATAAACTTTCTTTCTTGTGTCCTTAAAGAATTATTCTTCACGCAGAAGTAATCTTGCTGGTTGAGTTTAATGTGAGCAGATTGAATCAAGAAACTCAGAAGACTTTGCATTACTGCGATGGAGCACATATGGATATGTCCACGGGTACATGGTTATTTTTTTAAAACAGCGTTTTTCTGCTTTTTTGTTGTTAAAAAAAAATTGTATTCAAAAAAAAAATCACAGTGTCACGCTCATTTACCTTAATTATGAGTGGACAAAAGGCCAAATGCAGAGAAAGAAGCTATGTTTACCAAAATGCCCGCGTACATGTGAGCAAGTCTGGGATACAATTCACTTCATGTAGCTAGGAGTGGTTTATCTGTCAAGACACATGCTAAAATTCAATTCATATGCTGTAGTATTAAACCTTAAATAAGTGCCAATGATGTGTATAGACCATTCTTTACTGACAGAACTTTATCAGTACATTTATTCTAGCTAGTTTTAAAAACCTAACTAGGCTACAATAACAGCTACAGTTTCACCTTAGCTAGTCTTGTGAATGCCTGCGCTAATACCTGACATCGGAAGGCAAGCCAATTCACTTATTTGTTTTATACCTGACATTCTAGCCAACATTTGCCAACATAGTTTACATATTGAATTAAACATCAGCAGCAGTCAGATATAAATGTGAATAGAGTGTTTAACTGGCTTACTTTGCTTCTTATCCTGTTGTTCAACATGGACAATTAAAATGATTCAATTACAATTTAAACCTATTATTTAGTTTGTTGCATTCAACTTCAAATACCTTTCACTTGATATTTTCACTGACCTTCAGGGCAAAATCTGTGGTTTGTTGGCTGTGCTTACAGTGGTTTAATACCATGCTATTATTAAAACAGCAGCAGCAGCAGCAGCAAAAAAAAAAAAAAAAAGTTACGAGAACTGAAACTCCAGTTTGTGGCAAGATGAGTGACACATCAGTGGGGAAGTCAGCCATTTGTTAGAAAAATGCATATATGCGTTCGGCTTGTGTGCTTACGCAAATATTTCCAGTCAGAGTTGCTAAGCATGAATATTTATGTTACAATGTTGCACCAAGCTTTTAACTGCAGCAAACTAAAATACACGTAATGGAGGTTAAAAAAGAGATGATCCAAGAATTATGGAAAGAAAAGAAAAAGATGCTTAGGTAACATGAAAGATGACTAATGAGCTCCCTGGTTGCCACAAGCAGCCAAATATGGCTGCTTTCTGTGAATCATCAGTCTGTGGTGTTTGACCGGTCAATGCTTGGATGAAGCTACAAGTTGCATAACAGATTATTATCCAGCATTGTTAGACACCTTCTGGGAACTGATTCTGACAATTTGCACAATGTCTGTAATGTTAACAGTTGTAAACACAAATGGGGATCTGTATTAGACAGCAGAGCAGTAGAGAGACCTTAAGGAGCAGGGCCAAAGCCAACAGGTGATCGGTTGACAGCAGAATCTGTATATGAGGAAAGAGACTCACACTGTAAACACAGATCCGCAGGGCAATCATTCTGTTTCAGCTTTGGCATATATTAATTATCTTGCTAATTAATAGCACAATTGGTGTTTACTATTCTGTAAGGATGGGATGACTTTTCATCCATGGAAGAACATTTTCAGACATGAATTACAAAGACAGAGGAGGTGAAACACTGGTTACATTTCCTGGTAATGCCTCTTTCTCAACCCCAAACTGGTTTAATAGCAGTGTGGCAGACACAGTAAGCAGTGGTTATAATACACCACCAGTAATATGCTTTAACAATAAAATGCACAGAAGTCATGCATCAGTAGTATGCAGGGTGAATGCTAAGCTGTTCTGTGATGTGAAATGGTATCACTGCAAGCATGATTTTTATATATGAAAGCTTTATGGCAATCGTCTTGATGATGACACAGCATTCCTGTTGTTGCTTTGGAAATCCTAGTGTGCATTTTTTTCCTCCTCCCACACCTTCTGTTGGTCTTTAAACAAAGTTCAGTTTCTTAAAGTTGCTTCCTCACATGAATCCTCACGTCCTCCGTGGCCCCTGATATTGAGCAGTTCCTTATTTTACCCTCAGTGAGCGGAACCATAACAGGAAGCAACTTTCTGCACTGGTGAAATCCTTTTTTTAAACTCGAAAATGTTCCCTGTAATAGTAATGTTCACATGTGATCCCATGGAGACCATCCTGCCCTGCTGCTCAGACAAACTCATGACAGGAAATCAAACACAGTCATTTCCTTTGCTTGTTTTTCCAGCCCTCCTTGCATTTATTGACTACATGGTCCTTCTTCAAGCAGAGGAGGAGGCAGAGCAGTAAAAGTCTCACTGCTCCACCTGAAGGCTGTCAGTCTTGCTGCCAGATGCTTTGAAGCTGTTCACCTCTTCAAATACCAACTCTGTGGACGTAAATGAAGAAGAAGGGAGAAGAAACACTGTTAGGCGTGTTGCTCAATATTCGGAATGTAACAATAGAAACAATAGAAATTGTGACATTGCAAAAGCACCTTCTTGATGTTTCATGGCAACAACACAGGATAATATAATGTGCATACTTTAAAGTTTCTTCAGGTTGCTATATTAGTCCAATATAGCAACATATTACAGTCGATAAAACCCAAACATAAAGCATAAACTAAAGCTGGCTGCCCCTCCCTGGTTCTGCTGGAAGTTTCTTCCTGTTAAAAGGAAGTTTTTCCTTTCCACTTTTGCCAAGTGCTTGCCCTGAGGTCCTTGGAGGGTCATCTCTGTGTTCAATATAAATTGCCTTCTTTAGGTTTTCAACAAACTTAAAGAAGTCGAGATGCTTTTCTTTCCTCGCTCCTTAGACTACGATGGCCTGGATGACTGAGAACCTTCACAGACATACCACCCACCATAACATTGGTACAGATGGTGTTTTAAGATCAAGACCGTGTGGGGCTATAGACATGACAGTGCTGCCCCCCCTGCAGAATAATCCATCTCATTACACCCCCTAAAACTGCTAGAGAATGATTTGGCAACGATGAAAAAAGAGCCCAAGGCACAGACCCAGGCTCAAAACTCTCCAAACTGCCTCTATTGGTTTTGCCAAAACAAACTCCACCCACAGGACCCTATGAATTAGCTGCCAGTGTGCTCTTGCCAGACACCACAAGGTTTTCCCAGATGTCACGTGTCTATGCCCTGGCTGGTCAGAGTTGTTTTGGCAGCACAGTATGAGGCAGGTGGTGTTGTGGTGAATACTAGTCTCTTAGATGGTGCATTTCTGCAACACCCATGCAATATGAAATGTGAAAATCAGTGCAGCTTGAATATATTGTCTTCTTGTTCCAACAGACTTTTATTTCAAATGGTACTTTTT